ATTTTTAAATTAATTATTGAAAATATTATATAATTTACTAATTAACTTAATTTTGATTTAGTTTTGTTTCTGATTTGAAATTTTTTAAAATCAGAAATAAACTTTTAGCAGTTTTTGTTACCAATCGTATAAATCAAACTCAAGCTGCATTAGAATTTGATGCAAATGATCCCCTACTTTCATCTGAAATAATTGTAAAATATGATTATTATAATGTTGATCCTTTGGAATTTAAGCCTCATTTTAAACAAGCATATCAAGTTGTTTTATACAAATGGAACAAACACATTCAACATCATTCAACATTACCTTTATTTAAAGATATTTAATGTTTTGATCCCTGATTTATTCATATTCAAATTAATAGACAAAATATTTTATCATATACTAATATAATTGAATTTCAAAATTCTACCAATGTTTAATTAGATGAATGAAGCATTTATTGTAAATTAGAGGAAATAATAGAAGAAGGAAAATAGGATTTAGATAATTATTGAAAAGAAAAAAGTCTCACATTACCAAATTTATCAAAAATAGCATTGATTTATATTTGATTACTAGTAACTGGAATAGATGTAGAGCACAATTTTTCTAATTACAAAAATATTTTAAGTGAAAGAAGAATGCGTCTCTTTGAAAAGTCAATTTCAATGCTTAATTTTTTGTATTATAATCAAAATTAAATAAATTCAATTTTTTTGCAAATGATTTTTATATATTTTATATTACCTAAAAAGTAAATTTCACATAATTTCTACCAGAATTATAAACATATATTATCACATATTCCATTTTTTTCACATACATATTTTAAGGTTCATTGTCACATATTTCTGGATACTCTATAATGATTATATACTTAAAATAGAAGGAATTAAACAACAAATTAATAAACTCTTTCTATAAAAAGAAATAAAGCTTTAAATTTTTAGTATAATAAACAAGTTTAAGAATTCTTACATGATTACAATACATAAGTTTATAATAAGAATTCTTATATAATTAATTTTACTTTTATGAATTTTAATAAGTAGATCAAAAATAATCATATTTGAGACTTTTAAATTATTTCATAAATTTATTTTTTAAAATATACAATTGCTTTCAAAAGAAAATTTGAAGTCTAACTTAATACACAATTTCCAGTTTTTACAGTTTTCACAATTTTCAAATTTTCACAACTTTATAATTTAATTATAAATTATAGAAATTAAATAAATTAAATCAACGCATTAATCACTGATTTTTAACATGAAGTTTAACCTGCAGCTGAAAATTTGGCTGAGTTAAATCCAGTTTAAATCAGTTTACTTAAAATTTTTGGTTGACTAAAAAATACTGATTTTATCAGATAATGCAATACAATAAGTTTTTATTAGCATTGTATTTACTTTATTAAATTTGATGAAAAATTCAAGGAGAATTTATTGTTTTACAAAATTTAAGTATTAAAAAAATTAATTAGATATATAATATTGTTATTTTTATTATTTTTTATTTATGTAAAATTTGTACATTATTTTAAATTCCTTAATAATTCTGTATATTCTGTATATATTAATTTTTTAAAAAATTATAAAAAAATAAATTATTATAAAACATACGGAATTTTAATACATAATCATTAATTACATATATAAATCTTATAAAAAACATATCATTTCCTTATTTGTATTATTTTAAAAACTTTTTGCTTTTGAAGTTTAGCCTCATAACTAATACTTTATTATGCTTTCTTAATAAAATACTATCGCTATTAGTAAATTATATTTATTAAATTAAAATTAAAATTAAAAAAATAAATATTGATAAACAATTATGACTTTTTGAATGTAAATATTTCATATTAGAAAATAGGTATTTAACTGAAGCTGAATTTACACAAATTACATAAATTCTACAAGTAATTTTTGCAATTCACTTCTATCTTTTCTTGAATAAAACTGCTAATATTTTAATATAATACCATTAAATTGTTGATAAGTTATATTATCAAAAGGCCTTTATTTAATTAATAATCTTCTATCTCATTTAATAAATGTTATATAGGTTAAGAAAATTATGATTCAAAATAATATTATAACAATTCTAATAAATCAAATATAAGATAAGCATATTTTTTACTAAACTTATTAAGATGATATTTTAGATGTAGCCAAAATGATATTAAAAATAAAGGTTATTTTCATAATTTTATTTTTATTCTAACTATATATGCAGTATATGTATTCTTTAACCAAATATTTCATCATGATAATATTTAAAAAATTTGACTAAATAGTCAAATAATGTAATATATTATGCTATTATATACTATCTTTTTATAATTTATTAAGAGTATTGTAAAATGAAATAAGAAGATTATAAAGTTTTTTGAGATCAAATCAGAAATTTTGATCATTTACAACATTTGTTATTTCAAAGCAAATAAGTAAATCACTATGTTCTTTATGTTCTAATCTTTGATTTTTTGTTATAAGTAACTAAAAAAAAAATAAAAATAAAATTATAAATAAAATTATAAATAAAAATTTTTAATTTTTTATTTAATTTATAATGAAGTTTTTTTTTAAAAAATACTTGTTATACAAAAATAATGACTATTTTATCTAGTTTTGCATGACCTTTGAAATGCATATAAATGATTATTTAACTCAATTCGTTCTTGTTTTAATTTTTCTAAAAAGTATGTTGATGAGTTAAAAAAAACACAATTGCAATAGCTTGAATTGAAATCTTTTTGTATCTTTCAGATTCTTTATATACATAAATTTATTTGATGAGCAAAATATGGTAAAAAAACTTTATCAAGATTTTCATTTTACATATTTGCCTTATATTTAATAAAAAAATTAATAAAAATAAAAAATTTTTATAATAATTATTTAAATAATACAAACTTAGTAGCAGCATATGAGTTAGAAGAATCTGTTACTATACAAATTAGATTTATATTTTTATTGCTAATTTTTTCAAACCAAGATTGCATTTTTAGACATATATTAATTTCACAGCTTTTCTCATCACTTATATTGTCTGCATCCCAAATTAAAATTTGTTCAGATGAAGCATAATAATACATAATATAGATTGTTTTACTACATTTTTCAATCATTGAATATAATAGTAAGCCTAATTGGATTATTTTTGCAATATTTTCAATATGAATTAAAACTTTTTTACTTCTGATTTTAAAATTTGATTGCTAAGCATTTTTTTGAATGGTAAAGTAATACTAGGATTAATAAATTTATTAGCTCTTTAATTTCTTCATTTTGGATTCAAATAAATGATATTCTTGCTAAAACAGTTGCTTGAAATGTTAATGATTCAAAATGTTTAATATTCTATTCCATGACATAAAATGTAATATCTGATGAATGTTATTTAGGATTATGAAATTCAGAAATTGTGTTTAGAACTTTTCAAATAGATGTTGAATGTTGATTATTATTTGTTGAATTTGAAGATAATAAAAACTTAGACAATACATATGAAGAAATTGCTGAAGATCTTAAAGAAATTGAAATAGCTAAATAAATAAAAATTTTTTTAATATTATAAATTAAAATATGAAATTAAATAAAAAATAAAAAATTTTTTTACTATCTGTTTGTAAATGTTTATTATTATTTCTTTTATTTTTATTATAATTTTCATCCTCTTTAATTTCTGAAAGTAATTTATCATATTCTTCTACAGGTAAAGAAGTTTGAACATAAACACATTGTTTTAAATGTTATTGACAACATTTTTTTGTATTAGTAGCATCATCTCCTTTATTTTTTTTACATTCTTTACAGATATAAAGTTTATTTGTTGGATTGCTTTCTCTATATTCATTTAAAATTTCAAAATAGGGTCACCAGCGATGTGATTCTTTACCACCATTATGATTATTAATATATATTTTTTTCAATTGTGATGATGATCGGTTAGATTTAGCCACGTTAGTGGCTAAATCTTACTGATCGACATTACAATTAGACAATAATTTTGATTATTTATCAACTCAAAGCACAATAATAAATAATATTAGTCAAATATTATATAAACTTTAATATATCCAAAAATACTTACAACGTTTCATGAAAATTGCTCCATTTTAATCTGTTAGACTTCGCTTTCCCAAGTATTTTTACCTGGTATTTTCTAAACTTTTGTGAGTTGTTTGCTGGACAAAGCATTAGAACAATCTTGAATATATCCAATATTGACTGCTGTAAACAGTCCGAACTTTGATAACTAAAAAATCAATACCATCCTCATCGTCTTGGTTAGCAGTTGCATTGTTCGAATTCTTTTCATGTTCAGATCCAAACAACGGATTATTGTCAGCATCTATGACTGTTTCTTCCTTCGCTTCAAAGCTATTATTCCGAATATATAATCTGATACGTCACGTCAAAATCATATATAACAAAGTAAAAGTCTGCATCCCTAGTATTGACGGAATCTATGAAAGATGTTAATATTTTCAACCTTCACTGAAGCATATAAATAACATTAGAAATGCGGTAGAAATATGTGAAATAATGTAAATATAGTTCAATCTGACACATACCTCATATAAAGATACCATTTCTAACCTTTCTCTTTAATCTCGTTGCTGGAAGAGGTTTTAGGGCTCGATGACACCTCACTTTTCTTCCTGCTAACTTTACGTTTTTTTTGATTTCTTTTCTGATGTCCACTCTCTGGTTTCTGACGATTTTGATGTCTGTTCAGATTTATGTCGCTCCATTTCTTTTTAAACAACGATACTTTAAATTTCGCGCTAATAATACCCGATTAAGAAAAACTGTAAACAACATCATGACATACATATAAAAAGACCAAAGTATAAACATACTTTATTTATTCGGTCCATGATAGCTAGTGTTCTCAACCTTAAGAGACAACAATGTTGGACATTTATCTAATTGTACATATAAACTTATATATAGTATGATCTATTGGACATTATATATGTCCAAATCCAACACTATTGAGAGATGGTTTTTCCATAACGAATTATTTCCGGGATCATTATTACACTTCTTGGAGAAAACAATGAAAACAAAGTAGTATTAGTATAAACAAAAACTTCATCACTAATGACCTAAACAATTCCTGCATATTATAATGGACCTAAAGATCCAGACCATAATATACTTCCACTTCAGACAAAAACATCTTGCCTTGTGCGAAAATAACAACTGCAGAGCACGGTTATAGGCGAAATGTGATATCAATGGAGCTACCTGCGCATATTATAATGGGACCTGAAGGTCCAGAAAATAATACACTAACCACTTCAGGCAAAAAACATCTGCCTTATGCGAAAAAAATCGCCCAATAACAACTGCAGGGCATGGTAATGTGCCTCTATGATAAGTATGATAAAAAAGAATGCATAGCGATAGACTTTTTCAAGGAAATTACCTTGGAATAACCACGCTATTAATTGGTAAATTCTCAAGAAGAATAACAAAAATAGATAACCTGTCGTTTTAACTTGGGTCACGATTCCAGTAATGCCAAAAAGAGCAATGAATATATTGGAGTTAAGTTTCTCACGATCAGCTAACGTATAATAAAAGCCAGTAAGCGGAGGATTATTATTAGGAAAAGAGGTTAAACTATATAATACATAGTCTCATAATTTGGTTAGTAAATTTTCAGGGTACTATTTATTTCACGTATTACGTAATTCAGATAAGATCTGTAGATCCAATTGGTGGCAAATTCCTAAAGAGGCTTACTTATTTTATTTTCTTATTTCTTATTTATTTTTATTTTATTTAAAAATCAAAAATGCAGGTAATTAATTTTAATTAAGTATTAATAACTATAATTTTTACTAACTTACCTTATGAATATTCAAAGATCGTTGAAAAGAGACATGCACAGCTCTCAAACTATGAAGTATTGGCACTTCTTCGTGAATTAGATGAAAAACAAAAAGAACAAGCACGAGTTAACCCACAAATTAAATTTGCAGAAAATTTAAAAACCATTCAATTTGAGGTAAAATTCATTTTATCGACTGATTCTCTTATAATTTTAAGCCAGTAATAAAGTATCAACATTCTTCCCAAACCTAATAATCCATATTCTTTTTTTTTTTTTTATTTTCCTAATTGAAGGTTATACAAAATTTAAAATCACCACAATCAACAGCAAAATCTCAAACTCCTGAACAAATTGAATCAATTTTATTTGAACTTAAAAAGTATAATTTAACAAAATCCGAAAAATTACAGATCATCAATTTGAGACCACAAAGCATTGCAGAACTTGAATTGGTAATTGATTTTCTTTAAAAATCTTTTTGCGACTCCTTGATTATTAAATTCTTTCTTGTTAATTAAGATTATAGAAGATTGTGAAGATCGATTCCCAATGGAGACGCTTCGGGAAATGATTTATTTGATTGGAATTAACCTACCAATGCCGGGTAAGGTTGTACGTCGGTTGGAAAGTGGTAATGAACCCTCAGAAGATGATGAGGTGTTGACATTTATTCATTACGAGGCAGATCCAATGGAACAGTAAATATGATTGTCGTGAACAACTTAAAATTACGCAAATAGTATACCAAAACTGACCTTTTTTTATCCTTTTCATTCGAAATCAAACAGATTTCACTAATTCATAGATCAATAGATCCTTGAAGTATTTCAGCTTCGACTCACTCGTGTTACCTAGGAACTTGTAAAGCTTAAATTAGGTAAGGATATTGTTTATTTTCATTTTTAATTGTCAAGATATTCTTTGTTACTAGTTAATTTCTATAGAATTAAAATATTTGTATATTTAATACATTTTAATGCTAAATGTATCTGATCATGATGAAAAATCTGACAAAATTCGTAATAACGAAGAACATTCATATTTTGATAAATAGGTAAAAACAAAATTAATAGCGAATTGATGGAAAACCTATCCGGAAGATTTTATTTTGGATTACAAATATCATGAACACTGTTTTGGCTATGCAAAATTATTATCAATGCCCATTTAATTAAATTACATTATAGAAAATTACATTATAGATGACAATAAAAGAAATTATCTATTGGTTTTTAAAGTGTATATGTAATAGATTATTTTTGCAAATTTTTCTATATATTCTCTCAAGTTCTAATTGGTAGAAAGAACATCTTATGTTGCAAACGATATATCAAATTAATTTATAAAAATAAATATGTATAAAAGTCTATGATCAATTATTAGAAATATCACCATGGTAATGACTCCTTTCGTTTCATCTGATTCATTGGATTAAAATCATTTGGTGATAAAGAACCATTCGAATAGGAACGATTTCCTTGATTACCATTTTCCAATGTCAATTCTCTTACTGGTGGAAAGGTAGCGGATCGAGTTGTTATCGGTATTGAATCGAGCGATATCAATGAATCAACTGTAATTTTAAGATTACGTCGCCTACTATGCTTTATTTCTTCATGATATGCACGAGCACATTCTTGTAAATGTGCTTTCAATTCCATTGAATATGAATAGTCCAATGCAGTCCATCCGGATTTATTTTTGCTGGCAAATTGACAACCACATTCAATTAGCGTCGTTACCACCTTCGATAAAAAGAATAAGATTACTAATTATAGTCAAACCAAGATGATGATTCGATTAAGAATAAAAATAATTACTTGAAAATGATTCCAGGCTGCAGCACTAAAATAAAAAAAAAGATAATAAGTTCATATCGGTTAAACAATCAAGATCATATAAATAATAATTACTTACTAATGTAAAGCGGTGTTCCCATCAAAATCTATTTGATTTATATTTGCACCAAATTCCAGTAGCATCTATATACAGTTTAAAGTTGTAGAATATCAAAAAAAAGAATTATACAATAAATTGTTATTTTTACTAAAAGAAAGAAAGAAAGAAGAATATCTACTTTAATCGCATCGAGATTACCAAGTTTGGAAGCAATTATTAAAGCTGTTTGTCCTTGTTTATTAACCATATTGACACAATGAGGATAATATTTAGTATATATTTTCAAAATCTGAGAAAAATTAAAAAAAAAATATATATAATATAATTATAATAATGATAACTAATAAAATATTTTAATCAAAAAAATTGACCTTCATAATCACCTCCAAAGCATTATATTCTGCAGCTACCATTAATATAGTATTATTCTCAAAGTCCTTAAAGATATTTGAATATGATAAATTTCTTACTCGTTAAAGAAATAGGTTTTAAAAAACTTACTCTGGAAGGTTCTAATTCATCGTGTCCCAGTTGAAGTAGATATTCAACAACATATTCATGCCTACAACGTGTAGCATACATTAAAGTCGTCCTTTTGAAAAAAAAATTTATTAGATTTTTCTCTTTTTTTTAAAGATTTATCCTAATGATGTGTGTTTCATACCATCCATTTTCAGGATCTGGATTTTGCATGTTCGTTTTCGCAAGAAGTCGTTTCATAAGATCGAGATTGCCTTCACATGCGGCCCGCCGTAAACGTAAGCGTGGATCTTCTACTGGCATTATTTGTTACGTTCAAGTAAGTCAAAGTTTATCTTTTGAATGAAGCTTAGGAAAAAGTTTTTTTTTTAAAAAAAAAAAATTTGATCGCAATAACTTGGAATTAAATAAAAAAATCATTTCTATTTATATTTTATTTCCCCGCCAAAAATCTGCAAATGTTTATTTATTTGTTAACCATGGTAAATCAAAAAGTTTATTTAGGTTATTGAATAAATTATTTATTTATATTATAGGTAGTACGATAATTTTCAATCAGAAATTAATCCTATTTCTTTTTCAAATTCGTCTTTATTAATTTTTCCCTTTTTAAATTTCTTTGCCAATCGTTCTTCTTTTTGTAATTCTTCCCATTCATCATCTTCATCATAATTCATATCGTCGTCATCTATATTACCATCGATTTTATTTGAGTTCATCATATCATCATCCGCCTTTCTTTTTTTAAGAAATTCTTTTTTTTTTGCTTTCTTGACTTTGCGTTCTATTTTACGTTGCTTTGCTAATTTCTTATCAGACCAAGGACCCTTTGGGAGTAAATGCCGTTTACCTGACTGTTTGGAGGATTTTAATTTTGATTCGGTTAATTTATGCCTTCTCTGTTTTTCACGTGACTTGTCAGCGTATTTATATTCATCCATCTGAAAGTAAATATGTTGTTAATGTTAGATGAAGAAAATGGATAAGCAAAATATGCTGACGTACAATTATAGGGGTTTCTTCGAAATCATCGGATTTGTAATCTTTTAGCTCGGGCATTTTCGGTAACTAACATTCCCAAAGAGCAATTATTAAACTATTAAGAACGTTTCAGATGAAATATATATATATATATAAATATCATAATTACCCGTAGTAAACCGTAACCTTTGGCAACTTTGCCCAAATTTAAATCTTTCAAACGAAATATGTAACTAGCATCATGTTTTGTATATGAACGAACATATGAAACGAAAGCTTTTGTACCCTATTAAGAAAGCATTTCATAATCAGTATAAAAATATTTTAAATGGTTATTCATTTCATAAATTACCTTGTCATGTAAATCTCGATCCGCTAAAATGATATCTTGAACTTGTTTCAGAAGAACCTCGTTTTCTTCATCAACGAAGGGGTCTTGCGTTGTGATTGAATCATTATTATTATCAGGTAAAAAATAGGAAAGTTGCCGTAAAGGGATTTTTCGAATCTTCAAAAAATCTAAATTGCAATACAATTTACGTAAAATAT